TCGTGCCCGCGAGCCTGCTCGTTGATGGCGACCCGATGGAAGACCGCCGACCGCGGGCGCTCTGAATTATAGATGAGTCGCGAATCGCATTTAAAGTCTTTACAATTGTCGACTTTGCCTTCGTTGATCCGCGTCACGATATTTCTTCTTTGCTTCTCAGTGGCAGCAAAAATTTGATTAAACAAAGTATTTTGATGAAAGAAATCGTAATGTCTTACATTACTGTTTCTTTTATTTTTAAAACGTACATTTATGTATCTGATGAATCTAACAAGAATGAATAATACAGAGAAAAACAAGTTCGTCTAAATTTATCTATTCAAGTAAAAATTATTTTAAGAATTTTATTCGGTGAGTAATATCAAAGTTTCATGCAAATTATTCTTTATACATCGCTTATACAAAGCGAGAAAAATTGCATAGTATATTATAAATTTGGCAAATATAAGTAGTTGAATACGTAATATTATTATCCTACTTGTGTTATAATTTGTTATAGAATAATTATCTTATTCGCGAATAATATAAATAATTAACAAATGTTCCGTAAAAAAATGTTACCAATTCGTCCATAATTATTAGTTTTGAAAAGATGAAATTTCCAGCAGCGTGGACGGTAAACGCTGTCAGATTGCTGGGGATGGTGCGATGGGAATTTATTGATGAATTAATTACAAGCATGTGCGTGATTCCTTCTACGACGATAACCGCCAGCAATTTTTAATTAACACATACGACAAAGGGAGCCAAATGACCAGTACTGATCGATTCATCGGCGCGCTAACCACATACCGTTGGTTACACTTTTCTCTTAGCAAACTAACACAAGAATGGAGAGAAAAATATTCATACCATAAAATTTCTATAACGGAATGACGCACTTTACTTATAATATAATAGATCTACAGAACATTTTATATTTTTTAAATAAATCTTATTGCGTAATTATCTGTAATCAATATAAGAATAGCAGTCTTCGAAACTGAGACTACAACGTAATAGAGATAGTCTCGCGTTTTATTATTATACAATAAATAATCATCCATCCTTCAAAACAGAGAGAGAGAGAGAGAAAGAGAGAGGCGGAAAGGAATAACGCAGGGACGTAGCGTAATATAAGTCAATCTAAAAAGACACAGAGAATCCGTGCCACGTTAGAAAGGCAAGAAATCGAGCCGAACGCCAAAAAACAACAAGATATACATGACGACATCAGCAACGGAAGTAACGGTAACTGTTTCCGCACGAGAAACGGCGCTCTGCGCGCCCTCGGTCTCGGGATCGTCTGACCTACCCTCTCTTCTACCACTTCGAACGAAGGAAGGAACGAGCCAGACTCCTACCCTCTGCCACCCACTCGCCCCACCAGCCTGACGGACCACCCCTCCAGTTACCACCGCCGCCGCTGCCGCCGCCGCCGCTGCCGCTGCCGCCGCCGTCGTCGCCACCACCACCGCGATACATTGCGATACAGGGTTCTTGTCTCCACGCTGCCTACCTACGTGCAGGACCAGCGCTCCACCAAATCCATAGTCCATTACACCCTAGTCTACGAGACGTCGCGTCACACTACTACCACCCCCCTCGTATCCGTCTGTTCATCCGCCATCATCATTTTTTTATCCATCGCTTGTAACTCGCGCCGTGACACCTTTTCCCCTCACCGTCACGCCAATACCTACAATCGCCGGCCGCATAAACACAACACCATATCAGGACGCACGCGTACAAACAACCACGCTTACGTACCGGTACGCGCTCCCCCCGTCGTTCTTCGGCGTCCGCTCGAGAGAGACCTTGTTCTGAAACGGAAAGGCGTTCGCGAAAGTGACGTTTTTTTTCAGTGCGTGACGGCAAGTTCGACGATTGTGACAGGTGCTACGAGTGCGTATGCTTAAGTGATTATTTTGGTGCAAGGCAACGTGAGATCCTTCCAGAAATACGCGTCATCAAATTGAAATCTGCCCGCAGAATGGTGCTCGTGTCCGACGGCTGAACGTCTTTTTTGGCCTAGCGAAGAATACGAGGATTTGTACGATTTCTAGTGACGCTGTCGATCCGAAACCCATTAGTTAACGCTTATTTAATTAGCACGCTAAAATTACTTAAATCATTTTAATCGTCGTGAGACAGGAAAATTATATTATAATAAATTTCACATAGATATCTGGTGGAGAATCCCGGTATATCGAGAACGATTTATTTTACATCCTTAAAAATTGAATAACAAGCGCTGATTGATATCTGGTTTTGTGCCTATCGAGGTAAAAGGATATTTCGAAGCAGCTGCGACAATCTCTGGATAATTCGATTGACAGGATAAGCGCGCACCTGATACTCCCCCCACGCAGTCTCTCGTACATCTCGACTTCTTCTCATCGTTTAATCGATTTACTCACCGAATCGTGTTCTACCCTTTTGTCTTGATTACTTGCTCGTATATCTCGCCGCAACACGATTAAATTTCTAAGAGCACAAGCGCCGACGTTTATCCAATTCCAACATCTTGTCCTATAAGCGAGAAGACGCTCCTTTCGTACGCTATTAACTTCCGTGTTAACATATATAAATAAATATCAGCTCGATATTCTGGGAATTTTGCGTGTTTGCGACGCGCGGCGCTTACTTAAAATTCACAGCGTCGAGATTTCATAAAAACTTGGAGCGCGACGTTGACAACGAGTCGCAGGGTGAAAGTAGTTGAACTCAAGCTAGTACGAGCCACGTGAAACTGGTCGCTACTTCGCCGGGCCGCACAGATCCTGGAGGCTTGAAAGCCCCTGGTTTCCCGCGCACAGCAAGAGCGAAGCACACACAACCACCCCAACCAACCAACCAACGAGTCGACCCACCGCCACCAACCCCTACACACAACAACCCAACGAAGCATCCCCCACTCTGAATCGCACAACAGCCTGAGCGGAAGTGCTAGTCAGTCGGCGAGCGACCTTCCAACATTACGGGTTAGGTTCCCTCTTTTTCCACCCGTCGTGTCTTTAACCTCATTTGTACGATCGCGAGGACCGGCCGCTTTGTTTGATTTACCCGTGAAGGAAGCAGAGAAAGTCGCCGCAATTAAGGGTGTTAATCCTCCTACAAAGATCGGAAGTAACCGCCGCTTTTTATTTCACATGTCATTCGCGCGGCAGTTTAACGTTTAACCAGATTTCTATGATCCATACCTGTCATACCTGAAAGATATTTAAGGTAGCGTTAGAGAGGAAAGTAAAAAAAGAAGGTGCTATTTGAACGATCAAGTGATTATCGTTCTTCCAATTGTGCGTGTACCGCGAACCTCGTGTCTTTCTCCTGCAACGCGTTCGTGAGCGAAAACCTTCCGACGTGCGACGCGTGCGACTGCGAGTGTTGTTCACCATAGTCTATTCATCATCAGGAAGATTTAATAGGTTTTAATAACGAATAACGTTTAATTGCAAGTTACGGGATAGGTACCGGTAGACATACATGCTGCAGTATTTTCAATTATAAAGCGGGAACACACGTTTTATGATTTATATTGCCGAATCAACTGACATAGGGCTCCCGGACAGATTGCACCGTTACAGACTGCTGAGACTGAGATACATGCTCTGCCGACTGCTAGAGAAGACATCGTTAGTTTGCCGGTTTACACAATGCGATGAGACGTGTTCAATGGTTGTACTATCGCAAACATAATTTGAGTCTTGAAAAGCCCGTTGTCCGTAATTTAATAATTTAAGTATTGCGATGGTTTGTCCTGCATATTTACTTTAAAAGGAAGAAAAAATTATTTTGACAAGAAAACGTATTGTGAATTTTTCTAATTGCGGTGACACACGAAAATAGATATTTTACAATCCACAACTATACCGGCACTTCTCACTGATATAGATTACCCAAGTCGACCACGTGGCCGTGAAGTGAGCGTCGACTGCGCCAAGAGTATGCGGTAAACACATTCCAAAGGGACGAGATTCGATAAAATCTAGCATATTCCTTAAAAACATTTCCTAGAAAATCGTGACAAGCGTGAAAGGCAGTTTTCAACGCGATTGCATCGTTCCGTCGCAAACAACGGTGTTATAATCGGTATTAACAGAGTTTAAAAACAGGAAATATCAGCGATTAAATCTGTTTGTTAAAACTCATCTTTCTTTTCCCACGAGGCTGCAGTGAAAGAACTGTGATTTTCCACTGATTTGTTTAAAGTAAAGCAGCCTTCCACGTGAGTGTCGGTGTGTTGTGATACATATTTGAAAAGTAAGTCGAAGTGAAGTCATTCAAGCTTTCTCCGTTGATCGTCATCGCTTGATCCAAAAAGATTTGGTACAGATCAAGGATCAACGTTTGCCACGCACAAGTTCAGAGAGTAGATCGCCCCAAGTCATCAACAAGGTAGCAAAATCCCGCCCGCAGGCAATCGTGAGTTTAAAGAGGCTCAAGTTGAGGTTGTTCAGCCCGGCTCAACGATCGACGTCAACAGGACGTATCAACAAGCCCCCCAACAAGGAGGGTGGGTGCAGTGGTGCAGTGGTTGCCGGAGGGCCAGCGAGCTTGGGGTGGCCTCGTCCACAGGCGCCTTGGCACCGAGCGCACCGGGCCCCGGGGCTGCGGTGGTGGGTTGCCTGGTTGGGGTGTACCCGTGTTCTCCCTCCTCCACGGGGCCCAGGGGCCCCCTAACTCATCATCTCCAGGCTATCCCGAATCAGCAACAGCCGATCGGCTGCCGTGCCTGTTGCTGCGTGCATAGCAATCACCAGCCAGCTTCGGTCCAGCTTACCAGCCAGCGGGGCGGTCTATCGCTGAGGGTAGCGAGGGTGGCGTCCACCACCTCCGTCCGAGCCGCCCCCTACGCCCACCCCCAGCACCAGGGGCTGGGGCAGGAGTGCAGGTAATGATAAATCATTAAACATACATTGTAGCTTCACTTCGACACGTATTACTACCCCCTACTACTACTACCACTACTAGTACCACTACCACTACTTCTACCTCTACTACCACTACTACCACTACTAGTGCTACTGCTACGCTTCTACTCTGCTCGTCGTCGTCGTCGGCAGTACTTGACAAAAAAAAAATAATATAATAAAAGTAACGATATACACGTAGTAGCACGTCGAAATTTAAAAAAAATAAAAAACAAAAAACACGGTTGATGGAGTAAAGAAAGTTACCCAAAACCAAAAACGCACGAAAAAGGTGTAGGGAGGAGACGGGGGCATTGGGTGGAGGTGGTGCGCACATCCTCGGCAGCCCGATGCTGTTCGTCCCGTTCACGGTACCCACCTTCCCAGCGACGCATCATCAGTCGACTCATCCTGCGCATCAGTCGCATCATCAACAGCTGCAGGCCAACACCCAGAATCCGGTGCAGCAGCCGCAGCAGCTCACCCAGTTGAATCAGCTGAGCCATCTGAATCATCAGGGCATCGTGCCGGCGACGACCAATCAGCCGACTATACACAGCACCAGCTGTTCGCCGCAGCAACAAGCAACGACACCGAATAAGGTAAACGATTATATGATTGCTTGATGCAGCTATATGCAAAAGGAATGTTCCGAAAGTATCGGAGAACGTCGACTTATTATGGGAAATATACTTTGTAAATGACTCTCATACTGCGGAAAATAACATAATAATAATCGTATGTTGAATTCCGCTCTCCTATATGCGTTAATTATATTAGACACGCACATACGTATGCGTCAGGAAAAGAGCGCTATTATAATAGCACGCTATTGCATAGAAATGGAAATAATGGTTGATTATTATGTATAACATATGATTATCTGCACGTAAGCAGGTCTATAATAATCGAGTAAAATGCGTGCTTCATTTTATGAACTCTCGCTTAATTTTCTCTAATGCAATAAAGCGCATTCAAATCTCTTGATGATCTCAATATATCTTGTCTTATTATATTAACTATATATATAACCAATAAAGTTATTAGCATAATTTACAAAATGATGATGCTATAAGATAACATCAAAAATACTAGCAACAGTAATAATATAATAATAACGGGAAAAAAAATATATATATACATATATTACGTGACTTCTGAATATCAATGTCGGCTCAATAAATATCATTTACTCTAATATCATTGCTTTATTAAAGTCTCATTCTATAAATATCAAAAATTTGAATTCACTCAAATATAAATAATCGTCGATTATAAATAAAAAAATAAAAAAAAAACAATTAAATAACAATTATCTGTTGTATAATAATTACCGTATGCAAAACTCGTATACATCTCTTAACTTGAATATCAATTCTTTCATTCAATTAAAACTATATCTGCATTTGCAAAAAAATTTGTTCTATTCTTCTTGATACAATATTCTTTTATGAAAAAGTTTTATGAAAATTGAGACATACAGATATCCGTATAATCACAGTAGATGCATAGAAAGAAAAGCAAGTATAAAACAAACGAACTGTTCCAATCAAAATAACACAATATCCACGTCGTGTCTAATATCGCTTGTAATGTCAGTACCGCGACACAAAAGTTTCAAAGCTCACTAATAGATATTTATTAACACTGAGGCTGATAGCCACGATCTATAATCTATATAACGAGCAGGATTTCCCTTCTGGCCGTTCTACGAACTTGAACGACCTCTTCCTTACCGGTGTATCGCCCATGGTGTCGGGATTGTTTCTTCATTTTTCTCACCCTGCGCTTCCTCGCAGCCATGCGCTTTTATTATCCTGGCGTAGATTCAAGTCAATTTTCTTTAGCAAGCCATAACTCGTCGGAAGATTCTCCCGAGAAGTACGGCGGCCGATGCGCCATGGTACGAGTAAGACGTCACGATGTTGGCAGAGGGAACGCGGTTTAATTCTTGAAGTCTGGCAATCCGCGGGTGGTGCTTCCTTTTCCGGAGGATTCGTCTCCGTGTAGTCCCTCAAGCTGTAGCATAGTTTGGAAAGATCTTCAACCCTTTCCGCTCTTGGCGCCGGCACGCCAATGAGGAGAAAATATGTATCGCGCAAGTTATCAATTATAATGTGCTGGATTAAGAGAATTTCTACATAATATAGCTTCATTTATGAAAGAACATTCATTTTATAATATTAATTAATCGTCTAAAAGTTAAAAAATTCTTACGTTAATATCTATTTTACAAATAGAACATCTTTAATAAAACGTAAATTCAATATGTACTAATTTTTGCAAGAAGCTGCAATTGAAAAAAATAAAAATTTAAATTTGCAATTTTAATCAAAACATGTATCACATAAAAAGGATCCTTTTATGTTTGCAAAAAAATCGTTTATGAAATCTCGTTATGAAATCTCGTTATGAAATTTTGTATCAGCGATGTAGAAAGATTGATAGGCACTAAATCAATGAAAACGTTTATGTGTATTTAACGTACGCTATGCGAAACGTTTGATCAATAAACGATGTGTGAAGTGACTCTTACGTCACTCTATGTATATTACGTTGAGTATGCTATACATCTATTTCCATTATGCTGCATATAAGTACGCGTCGTGTAATGTCGTGAAAATGTCGCTGACTTAATATACGTAGCGAAGCCCGACACACTTGCACTATTACGAGCAACATTTACACATTACATATGTATATATGTATTATGTAATTTACATACGGTAATGTATACTCTGTTGTGTATATATATGTATATATATATACATAATATATATGATGTTATATATGCGCGAGCCACGACATCCGTATGTATTACAAATTCGGAGTGTCTACACGTGACTGTAAAATGTGTGTTCACGTTCTGTGTACACCGCTTCTTGAACTACACGTATAAATTTCTATAAGCTAGAATACCTGAATGTGCTCAAAAGATGAAACGTTAACTTGCTACACAATTTTTATTCAAGTGAAATTAAAGGATTTATTTAACACAATTCACAATTTGTTGTGAACTATATTGTTAGAATAAACAAATTATTTATGTTAGAATATATTAAATTATCTTTTCTTTTTAAATATAATTACTATATAACTTTCAAATAAAATTATTGTCTAACTTTTGATCGAATGACGACGCTCTGTTTCCAAGTTTCTAACTAGGCTAATTCAAATGCAATTAATTAGAAATTCATTTTTAAGTAAAAATCAGACACAGCTGTAGAATGTAATTCAGCTACAGTTATAGCTCCAGTTATAGTTTCATTGGGAAATAAAAAATTGGGATATAATTACAAGAGTTATAATATTGTTATATTCTTATGTATAATAATATACATAAGAAGAAATGCAATAACACTGTTGCCAAAGGTATCTGTCAATATTTAATCATGATTTGATAGCATTATCTTTTATTGATGTAATTTATTAAGTAAATTTATTCCAATGCGTCCCATAAATTTCTTAAAAATTATATCTATTTATTCAATATCCACAGTCATCTCATGTTTCACGCAAGCAGCTATTCTTTCTATTTACACAAAATAATCTCTATTAATTTCATGCAAAGAAATATAAACAGGATGAATGTAAATTTAAAACAGGTCTAAACTAATAACTGTTACCTCTGTATATAAATAAATTTTTACCTTATGATATATTTAAATTTGATAATTTTACTTATTAAACAGTATTAATATTATATAAAATATTACATAAAAAATTATAAAAAATGATTATTTAAAAAATACAATCATAATTATCGCCATCGAAGGAAAATTCGTAGGGGAAGTATCTTTGTAAAATAAGCGGAAGGCACTTTCTCATTCAATAAAGGGTTACAACTTTGCAGGTAGGCCTTTACGAAAGATGCGAAGTACGAAGAGCAATGAGGGGAAGTGGGGGAAAATACCAGAATTTCTAAAGCGAAGGAAATAGCTGCTAGTGGGTGGGGACGGGAGGCAGGAAGACTTTGAGAGTTGTTCGCGTAACTTTATTAATTAAAGGCCGTTAGTCCTTGTTGCTCGATACACCTTATATAGCCGCCACGGTCATGGTTCTCTCGTACAAAGAACAAGCTTCTCGTCCCTTTTCCTCCCCTATGCTTCTTGGCGCCTTCGTCAACGCGCTTATCCGCGTATCGATCATCGTCACTGTCCACTATAGTAAATAGTGCCTTGCGTTATTCCTCTATATGTATTGTCGCTTTTTCTCTCGCTTGCGTAAACAATCTCTTTTAGCACATCTTAATCAGTCCTTCTCTTAGCTTCATGAGATGAAATTCGAAATGCGTAATTAATAAAATTTCTTTTCAAGTGTAATGACAATAAGAGTTGCAGTAATCATTAAGCAATATAAATCGCTAAACAAAAAATGTGTTTGATAATAATGTAACATAAAGATATTGATATTAGAAATATTAATTACAACTTTTATACAACGAAGCGATTATCAAACTCTTATTTTAATTACATGATTTAAGTCATATAAGTATTAACTAAACTATTATTTCTTACATAAGTACATTCTATTATGTTAGTAAGTTGGAAAGTTATTTGCAAACTATAGTGCAACTAATTTTCATTAAGTATATCACTAATTGCAATTAATCGGACAATAATTTGGTGATACAAATAGAAAAACTACATTTCCGAGTATTTATGAATGTTTTGGTCAAGAATTTTTTAAAATTTTTTATTCATTACTACAACATTTTTTTTTTGTTATTGAAACGCTAATGTGTGAAATTTTATATTGATTTATATAATAATCTGTTTTTACTATAATTGATGAATGAAAAGCATTCAGGTAAAAAACTGTTATAGAAATAACTTTTAAAAAGTTACAGTTTTGTGATTATAAAATTTTTTATTGATGCCATCGAATTGTTTCTCGATTAGTGACATTTTCATCGTTCATATACGTTTTGCCGTACAGAAAAGATAAAATATGGGCTGTGCGTATATTATGTTTTGATCTACGTTGTTTTCTCTTCAGTTTTCCTCCTCACATGTGATCAAATGTACAGTTACATCATCCCGTAGTGTCATGATTCAATGTGATATCGCGTGTCCACGGAGTGTTAAACTGAAAGACAAGTACTGAGCGTTATCGAGGGTTCTTCCTATCACGCCGTAGAAAAAGGCGACTCATTCGCGCCACTTCATCGTCTTATGTCCTCCGCTGTTGCCACCGACGCAACAGCTCCGACATCCATCATCGTCACCATCGTCGTTTTTCGCGCAAAGAAAGTATCTCACGATTGCCGCGCGCAATATCACACCGCGTACGAATTCTTTTTGCGTTGTGCAGCGTTGTTACTTTACGAGTCTGCAGTTCCGTTAGCACCGCTGCGCGGGAAACATCGTGCGAAAAGATAATTACGAGTCGGTTGGCAAACGTAATGTAAAGAGGTACAAAGACGTATCCGACAAAGGATAACCGGTTGGCACTTGTCATAATTAGAAAATTGCTTTTTGCATGATAAAAAAAATGCGCTGCGGCAAAGAAGAAAGTGCAGAAGGAACTCATTACTGGGGGAGGGTGTGTAGGGTTGGGGTGGATCGTGTGCCTCGTCTGCCTACCTGTCTGCGCGGGAACG